CTTAGTTAAGTAAATATGATCATCAAAATATGAAGGAAAGAGAAATTAATTACTATGATGTACCTTTCTTAAGGATACATCCACCTATATGGCACCGGACCACCAAGCTTTGCCTCCTCCGCTAAATGAATAGTTAAATGCACCATAACAGTGAAGAATGATGGTAGAAAAATCCTTTCCATCCGACAAGGAGTCAAAATAACACGGTTTTGAATCTTGTCAAGCTCATTCACATCTAGGACCTTTGAGCATATTGTTTTAAAGAAAGCAGACAATTCAATTATCATCGAAGTTACCTCTTTAGATGGACTACATGCTCTTAATGCTATCGGCAGGAGATCTTCAATCAAAATATGACAATCATGACTTTTAAGATCAATTAATTTTCGATCTTTAAGATTTACACATCTTGAAATGTTAGATGCATAACCATCGGGCAATTTTAAAGAATGAAGAATTTTGCAAAAGATTTCTCTTTCTGCTATTGACATTGTAAAACAAGCGAAGGCAATTTGCTTTTACCATTATCAAGCACTTGAGGGTGAAGATCAAACCTAATACCCAAATCCATTAAGTGAAGACGTGCATTTAAATTGTCCTTTGACTTAGTAGCATGATTCATTAAGGTTCCAATCACATTATCACATATATTTTTTTCAATATGCATCACATCAAGATTATGACGCAACAAGTTAAACTCCCAATAAGGTAATTCAAAAAATATGCTTTTTTTCTTCCACCACCTTTTTGCATCCTCAACATCACTACATGTGTTAACTATCCCTTCAATATTTGAGACCCCAATATTAGTTTTGATCCTTTTTTTGTTCACAACCCTTTTTCTTTTATCACGTTGTACTAATTTTCCAAAAGTATAATCTATGTCATTTAACCGTTTCAAGACATCACTACCACTTTTTCTAGATGGTGCCATTTCGTCGCTTTTCCGTACCATCAAAACAATCTTTTTGATGACGGAATATATGATCATAAGGTAACCATCGATGATGACCCATGAAACAATGCTTCTTACTTTTGTACAACCATTTAGAACACGTTGACTCAAGCATAACATGGACATGCAAACTTTCCTTTCGTACTCCAACCAGATAAATTTACATAAGCAGGAAAATCATTTATTGTCCACATCAAAGTAGCTTGCATGTTAAATGATTGTTTTTTAGAAGCATCATAAGTCTCTACACCTATCCATAATTTTTTCAAATCTGCTATCAAAGGTTGCAAATAAACATCTATGTCATTTCCTGGATCGTTCTCACCTGGAATAATCATTGATAATATGAATGATGATTGTTTCATACAAATCCAAGGTGAAGTATTATATACAATCAATACAACAGGCCATGTGCTATATGTAGTGCTCATTGTTCTAAAAGGATTAAAACCATCACTAGCAAGAGGGAGCCTTACATTACGAGAATCTAAAGCAAAATCGGGATATCGAGCATCAAAATTTTTCCATGCTTCTCCATCGGTAGGATGCCTTAATAATCCATCTTTCTTACGACCTTCCTCATGCCACCTCATATCAATAGCCATTTTGTTTGAATAAAATAACCTTTGCAAACGAGGTATTAAAGGAAAATAACGCAACACTTTTGTTGATATTTTCTTCGTAGCACCTAAACTTTTCATTTGACCGTTATCACCTTTCATGTTGTTTTGTCCTTTTTTTTGCCACCAAGGAGTACCACATTTATCACATGCTTCAAGATCTTTTTTATCACCCCAAAATAACATACAATCATTTGGACAAGCTTTTATCTTCTCATAATCAAGACCTAAAGCTTTAATGATTTTTTTTGCCTCATAAATGATTTAGGCAACAATATGCCTTCGTGAAATGCAATAGCCAATAACTCTAATAACATAGTAAATGATTTCTCAGTCCATCCATTTAAACATTTTAAATGGTATAAATGCAATATAAAAGCTAACCTCGAAAATGATTTACATCCAGGATATAACTTTTCATTCATATTTTTTAATAAATCATTAAACATATTTGACTCTTGGGTGGACTGTTCATTATCTTGTTCTACATCAAACCTTTGACATTGCCCATTCATTTCATCATTCATTTGTTGATCATGAGTTTTATCGCATTCATGTTCATTTATGTTATTTATATTCATTGTCATTTCATTACCACATTGACCAACTACACCAAAAGCATCACGTAACAACCCTACCATATCATCCGATCGTTGTGGATTCACATCAATAGAAGTTGGTTTTTGAATAGAACTCACTTCTTGTACATGTGAGGTAGAAACATAAGAAGATGACCTAATGTTACTAAAAGAAGAACTCTCTCCATGAAAAACCCACCGGGTATACCCCCTTAAAAACCCATTACAAATTAAGTGAACTCTAGCATCTTCATATGTTTGTAAAGAAGAATTACCACATCGAATACAAGGATAAAATTTTTTTTCACCATAAGATGTATTAAGAAATGCTAATTCAAGAAATTCCTCAACTCCTTTGTTATATTCAGTACTAGTTCTAGTCTTGTTCATCCAACTTCTATCCATTTCATAAATATTATAGAATCCCTAAAAGAATGCTATAATTCTTTTTCAATAAAAAAAAAGAAGCACAAACCTAGTTATATCATAAAATAACAATCAACACATTTAGCCCTTAACACTTTTATAGTCTCAAATATCAATAACCAATTGATTGATTGCAAACAAAATATGAAGGAAAGGAAAATTTACCTTGAAGTAGTCTATTGTTCCACCATAGAAAATACCTAAAAAAAATAGTTTTATTAGTTAGAACAAAAAAATAAACTTATCCACCACATAATAAAAAAAAAAGAAAAGAAAAAAATAAACTAAATGTTTTTATATATATATTTACAAATAGTCAAGTATTTTTTTTAATTCAATTTTTTTATCAATCAAAATTAAATATATCAATTTTTGAATTAAATTAATACCAAAACATGCTTAATTTTTGATCAATTTTAAAATCTAAATTCTATAAATCCATAGCAAATAGTGTTTGATGCCACACAAATGAGAAATTAAGATATCTAAATTTTTTTAAAAAAAATAAGAAATCCATAATAGCATAAAATATAGACAACAAATGAATTAAAATTAAAATTAACATTTCCTAGTAACCATATTTTTCAATAATTAATGGGAGTCCATTTTCTTTGTTGTTGGGATGTTGTGCTATTTTCGGTCTACTTTCTTGGGCTAGGTAGCCCATTGTTGTCCGAAACCTTGAATGGATTCCTTCCTAAACCGTGGTAGCGTGTACAATTTGGAGCTGCATGCATATTCTAGAATTCTTGCTAAAAAGCCCATGAAAGAATGTCTATAACTAGTTTCCTTCTTATCAACAAAGCTAACATTTTTTCTTGAGTAAACCCATAGGAATTTGTTGAAATTTCCAAATTTTATACGTAATGGAAGTTTTATAAATACCTTTACATCCTCGCGGAGACACCAAGGTTTCAACACTTTAACTAGATTTCAAGTACTAGCTATCTATCTCACAAAGCTCTTAGAAAGTTTAAGCTAAACCTCTCCAACTCTTTTCCTTTTGGGTCTCTTAATTCCCTGTGCAAGGTCTGTAATGTTTATTTATTTGTCACGTATATACGACTAAGTTGTTGCTTTGCTATTCATTACTTTTGTAGAAGCTCGGATGGTGTAGATGCAAGACTTGCGGACTACTTTGATGTGATTTCGTGGACTAGCACCGGTGGACTCGTGTCCGCTATGTTAGCCGCCCCAAATGATCAAAACCGCCCTTTGTTTGCTACTAAAGACATTAATGACTTTTACCTTGAGAACCGCCCTAAAATCTTTCCTCAAGACGAGTAATAATCCTAATGATGAATTATTGCAATGAAACTCGCTTTTTTTCCCTTGAAATTGCCAAATTACTAATTATGTATTGTTTGGCAATAGATCTCCATTTGCTTCTGCTGTAAATCTATTGAAGACTTTGAGTGGACCAAAATATGATGGCAAATTCTTGCATAGCATTGTCAAGGAGAAGTTGGGAGATACACACTTGTGCCGGACCTTGACTAATATTGTGATCCCAACTTTTGACATCAAGCGCCTCCAACCTACAATCTTTTCTAGCTTAAGAGAATTTACCTTCACAAGTTTAGGAAACAAATTTTTTGAATCGTCAACAATGTTACCAAGCAAAAAAGGTTCGGACATGAGAGCTGGATACAAAAAATTTAAGGACATGAAAATCACTTCCTCTACCAAAAAAATGAAGATTTCCTATATAAATTTTCACCTCAAATTAATATCATATCAATACCGATGTAATTGTAGAAATCACTAGTCTTGTTACCGTACTTAAGAAAACTAATGTCCGTCAATAAACAAAAGCAAAGGCGAGGGCTATACGAGGAGCAAAACCTCTTGCATAAGTCCGGTGGGGATGGCTATGGTGTTTGGTTGCTTCGTGAGTAAAAAGAAGCTTTGCTAAGAATGGGGGAGGGGTAGATGAATTCCAACTTAATGCTTTCAGTACAAGGGAAAAAGTAGCAAAACTACAATTCCCACTTGTTAAAGCATTGTAATTTTCCTAAGTAAAACGATATAACTAGGGGTGAGCATTCAATTTTTTAGTTTTAGTTTTAACATTTCCATTCGGTTTTCGATTAACCAAATGCACCAAAAGAAAAACCAAACAAAAACCAAACCAAACCCGAACTGAATTTGCATCAGTTTATGAAACTGAAATTTTAGTTTTTAAGTAAAAACCAATTTTTTTCGGACAACATTTACCATAATTTGTGATTTTAAGAATCAGTTAGCCGATAAAATGAAGCAAATAAACTCGACAGATTATATGAAAAATTCAGAACAAAAATTTAAATCTTCACCAAAGAAAATTAGACCATTTCAATACAAGCAAGATGTATTGGTTATACTTTCTTAGTTCTTTTTACTAAGCAAGTGTAGTAAGATCATGCTCGGATTAAAGTTTAGGTAATGACACAACCTCGCAACGAGTATCACCGCAAGTGGAAGACCCGGAGATGCTAGACAGAAAAAAAAATAGAACACATAGGCGTGAAAGGAATAAAGGTCGGTTCAACTTCAATCAAAGAACACCTCAAATCTTGCATGTTGAATCAATATATAAGAATCATGCATTGGAGGCCATAATTCACAAGAAGGAAGCAAGAATTCCCAAGCACACGTAACTAAATAGAAAACATCAAAACTATAGGTTTCCTCCTCATGATTCGTCAATGATCGAACAATTCGGATAAGAATTGAAAACTTCTTTCAAGCAAGTTTCTTAATAGGAAAGTCACATTACCTTAGGATTGCCTTGGGATACGCGGATGCTTTTAGGAATCAAAGTAACGATCCTTCTCCAGTTTGGGAATTCTTTTGAAGACAATCGCTCTTGCTTCCCTAGTGCTCTAGCTTTAAGTCACAAAATAAGAACAAGACAAGTAGCATATTAGATTGAAAATTTCAAAGGAATTAGAGAAGAAAAGAGTCGGTAATCTAATTGATTGGCCACAAAATTAAACTTAGCATACTTACCATTACGGAGATCAATGATAAAATCAACAATGAGTACCCAATTGATTTAGAGGATAGCTATAATTTCGTTTCTAACAAAAAGGAGACAAGGACGAAGGAGAGGAGAAGAACAAATAAGCATAGGAAAAGAAGCACAAAGCGAGAGGAGAAGAACGAAGAATAAGAGGAGAAGATTCAATAAACGAGAGGAGAAGAAAAACCCGAAGAGGAGAGGGATAATGTAGCGAGGAGAAGAAAAACCCTAAAAGGAGAAGGATAATGTGGCGTTCTTTTCCCTTTCGGGACCAAAAAAAGAAAAAGAAAAAGGTAAAGAAAGAAGAAGCGAGAGAAGAAGAACCTCGACTGAACGAAAGCTCTCGATTAGATCTTCCCCTTTCGAACCAAACAAAATTAAAAATGAGGAAGCCAAAGAGAAGAAAGACGCAAGCAAATCGAGGAGAATAAGCAAATTTAGAAGGAGAACCTCGAAAACCCTAATTAAGGAGAGGGAAGATGACAGAGCTTAATTTTGCCATTTCGTAACCAAACAAAAAAAAATAAAGATAAAAAATTCTTTCATGAAGAAAACTCGCGCCTCCGATAAAATTTGGGGCGCTTTTTAAACCGCCTCAAATTTGTTTAATAAAAGTATACTACTAAAACACTTTGAGGTGGTTTTTAAAACTCGCCTTAAGAAATCCGCGTCTATACGTGTTTTTTGTTGTAGTGTATGATGCGGAATTGATAATCTTAATATACAACCCCTACAAGGAATTGATGTTGGTCGACATTTTGATGGACATGTAATAACAAATCTGGTTGTGTCAAGACAGATTGTAATTCTTTCTTAAGAGAATCAATGCTAGTGAACAAGGGGATTCGGATGACATTACAGGATGACCCTCATTATCATTAGTGATAATGGCAATTCACCATAATTGATATACTCATAGGATAGAGGGAGAGGAAGGAGAAAAGAGGAAGGGAAAGAGAGAGTAGGAGAGAGAGAAATGAATTAACTAATTCATTTCACTAGGTCATCCACTTTTTAAAATAGAGTAATCTACTTGGTAATAGTAACTTGTTTAAGTAAGTTTAAACGATCATATAGACTCGAAGTTATATGATTATATGATTATAATCTTATGGTATTGCAATTTTATAGGGATAGGGGCTTCTCATCTTACTTCCCTCGGAGAAGGAAGGTCGATCTATCATTGATAAATGGTATCCCTCTTCTCCCTCTCCAAATGGGAAAATGATTAGAGGTGATTTTTCAAGAGATGGGCAAGGATGAAAATTGCATTATATCTTATATATGATTCACACAATTGGCTATAAAATAGAGAGGGAGAGAGATAGATTGTCCATGATTTGCTAATAAATAAAGAGAGGGAGAGGAGGGAGAGAGAGGAATGGAGGGAGAGATGGAAATTAGGTGATCTATCTTAGTTAGAAAATTTAGGAGGGTAATCACAATAACCTAAAGGAAAGGTATTTTATGCTTAAGCATATTATTAACTAATATCGTTAACTTATACCTGATTTAAGGCCGATATTCAATATTATGATTGAAATTGGTATTCTTTTAAAAGAACCACTTAAGGTCGATAGTACCATATAGTATTGCCTCATGTCTATAAATATCCATATTCTATAATAAGAATTATATTTTAGTGGATAGGCCTATATTATTCCCCATACGTGTGCTAACTTATACTTGATTTAACCCATTTATTGCACATAGGCCCATCTCTCCCTCCCTAATAAATTTAATTATGTTGTTCTATTATATAAATTAGTACATGCCAACTTGAAAGTAATAGATATATATTTGGAAAAGTTCAAAAAACGTGTTGACAAAGCTATTGTCCTTGACAAAGCTATAGACATCAAATTTTTGACAACGAAGTCACAAATGTTGTTGCACTTTCCGAGGTTCAAGTCAAAGATGAGGTCATTAACGAGGCTATCAATGAAGGAATAATCGAGTGTGATACTCGCTGCCATTAAAGTGTCGACGAGAGTGATGATCTTATAATTGATTTTTTTAGTGTTGACAATTCGTATAGTAGAAGGTCTAGTTCATTAAAGCTTAGCTTTGATGACATTGTATACAAAATATTTGAATATGTCAATTGGGTTGTTAGCCACCTAAATTATTGTTACTTTAATTTTTCTATAACCGATATCATCATTTGTTACCCATAAGGTAAGATTCGAGGATGAATCTCTTTGAAGAGTGGGGGAATGATACGAACATGGGCTGTTCAAATCTCAATGTTATCATCAACAAGGAAATGGGTTGTTTCATTTTGGCCCAATCATAAGGGCTAGGGCCAAGAAGTTTCATGAGTCCTTAAATGGGCTTATTCAATATCAATGGGCTGATTTCTCCATCACTAGGCTTGAAGAACATCAATTGGGCCTTGTGAATCTGATCCATGCTATTGGACCAAAAGTTTCAGACTAAAAGTCCAATTTGGCCGAACTTTCTTATCAATGTTTTATTGGACCAAGATTGTTAAGTGACAACTATAGAATCAAGCTACTTCCAAGCTAATGTCACCATTATTTTCAAGTGAACAAAATTAAGCTTTAGGGCCGAAATTCTAGATGCTGAATTCGAGTTTTCTTCCAGATTCAAGGAGTCCTATTCAAAGCTTTGTTAGATCCAATGTAACTTTAATCAACTTTGTCTTTCTGAATTTCTAGTAGCCTATTTATGTAAAAGCAAGTATGTAATTTCGTTTTTAATCAATGCTTGAATCAAATCAACCTTTGTGAGAAAATTCACATCTTAGTTCTTTCTAGAACTGAATTTCAGAACTTATCAAGAGTCTAATTCAATTCTTTAGCGTTTGAGTGACTTATGACTCTCTTTCTACCCTTTTTGGAGTGTGGCGTCTATATCCTTCCAATCTAATTTGGCTTTCTAGGATTTCTTCCTTCTTATTCGTGGGTTCTCTAGCCATCGAGCTAGGATTACAAAGATATGTCTCGTTATATGTTGAAGAGCTATGATTACTCCTTCGTTCATAATGTTAGTCATTTCTTAAGTTTAGGGAGATATATGAGAGCAACTCTTATGTGTTGGTATATCTTTTTAGTACTAATTAGAGGCTTAAATCTGTATGAGGAGCCCATATCTTATTTATTTTCTTGTATGATTATGTTATTCAAGAAAGATGTTATAATATTATAAAGGTAAGCGATTCCTTCCTCGAGGGCTCATCTCTTCTCTTTCTTTCAACATAAATATATTATACTAACAAATAAATTAGGTAATTATTATTGTAGGTAATATGGGGTAATTGATATAATATTATAATATCAATATGTTTTTATGAAGAGCGTAGAGATTGGCATGATTGGTATGTGAATAATAGTAGGTATAATTTTATTAGGAATGCTCCCCCTCTTCTCTTAAGATGGCACCACTCTGAATGTTAAAATTTACAATCGTAGATGAACTTTAAATATAAAGAAACAAATTGATTCCCTTCTGGGATAAATATATGTTGCAAATGCCTTCGGGTGTTAGTCTTTATGAAATCAATACATTAAAGATCATTTAACTATTCTTAAGTCCTAATTAATAAGGTTTGGAAAAGTTAATATATTTTTTTCTATATGATTTCTCTCCCCACTCGTCCCTAGAGCTATTATATTCCCACCCTACTTAGGTCAAATAGGAGAGGGAGGAAGCAAGGTTAGCTTTTATCCTTATATGATATAAAATCAAAGAGTAAATATCCAAGTAATTAAAATTCAATGACAATAATTACTTGCTTTAAATTAACTAATTAGTCTTGTCCTATTGCAAAGCTATTGTCATTGAATTTTGAAATATAGCTCACAATTACTTAGGTCCAAACTATGATTGTCTCAATAGGTACTAATAGAATAAGAAATGGAAATAAGATCTTTAGTCTCTACTAAAATAATAATGATTGAGTCTTAGCACATTTCTACGTGGTAGTGCTAGCTCATAAATACCTACATCTAATAGTCCAACTCTTGATCCATTGTAATCATGTAGATATTTTCCCTTGAATCTATCTTCTTGGCAAAGTTGAGTCATTAGTATCTCTATGTGAGGATTGAATTTTGCAAGTGTATACCGATATATATTTTCAACTTGATTATTTAAATTATTTATAATCTAGCTAGTTTGGACCTAGTTAAAACTATTATAATGCCATGGAACCATATTGATTATAATTGGTATATTAAATAGTCTTAGTATTTGTTATTCATTTATTAATATATTGCATGTTTGAATACCAAGTGAATCAATATGAACTTGGATAATATTAACCTACTAATTGAAAGGAACATTATTGGCTATAATGTGAGATAACTTGCCAAAGATAGGGGTTAATATTATCTTCATCTCCAATACGGTAGGATATTATTTGAGGAGAGGTTAAGTCTCTACTATTAAGAGACTTATCAATTAAACCTAATCCTTAAAAATGTTCCTCCTAATATATTCGTGTTATATATATATATATATTTATCATCTTATAATTGAAAGTTATAATAGATACTACTATTTACTAATTATAATAATACTTAAAATAATAATATTATATTGATAGTGGGAAGGAGAGGGAGGGAGAGAGGATGTTAACTGATAATATATGGGTGTATATATATAAGTGCAATATTTAGCAAAGAGGGGAATAATTGCCAACATCAAGCAAGTAAAGATTTGTTGCCAAAATGCATGTATCTATCTCTCGTTTATAACGAGAGAGTGGATAAGATATAATTTAACATTGATTTTACAAAAAACTTGTTCTTTGCCAACATTATATCTAGTTATGTCATGGAGGGAATTAACCCTCTCATGATTGGGGTTGATTCACTCTATTTGTAAAAGTTATATATATAACTAAGCTAGATGAGGCCTTCTTGGGCCTTTCTCATAGGGGAACCCGTAGTGACAATGATAATTTAGATTGAGGGCCCTATGCGTATGCGTATGACATATAGCTAAATTAATTTTCAATATAATTTCTCAAATTATAATCACCTTTTATCATGAAGCCATCTATGTTTTCACGCTCTCCATTAAGTTACCAAATGCACTATCATTAAAGGTTATGTAACAATAAGATACATTTTTAGGCCTTAGGTTGTTCACCTAGCATGTCCCTTCCTAATAAGTCAATATCTTATAATTCACTCAAATATAAGACTATATAAAGATTATCTTTCAGGATGGATAGTTATGGAGTTATATATTACCTAAATAAGATCACAATGGAGTAATATCTAATGGACCAATCTTTCTCCTCTCCCTCTTTAACCAATTAATATGACGAATAATCATGATGCTTCATCTATAACTATCCCTCCATATATTAAGATATACCTCTCCCTCTAATTGTAACTAGTATCCTAGATAAAGTCATTGATAATCAATATTATTGAAGGCTAGATTGTCTTTCCGTGATATCAACTACATGAAAAGGTTTTCCTTTTGTAAGGGTATTTGGAGCTCTACAAACTTTTGATAAAGAGAGGTCAAGAGAAAGAGGCCTAAACATTATCCTTCCATAATGAATTAAGAAACCTCGAGTTCAACCAATAGCAAGGTCACGGTAGGAAAATTTTCCTTATGTGTATATAATTATTATTTACAAAGGTTATTAATAAACGATTATAATTCACTTAGTCATCTTCACTTTATTAGAAGCTATCCAAATAATATCTAGATAAACGATTGCCAACTTGGTCTCCTATATGGATAGGGGGTTACAATTATTTTTGTAGGGAGCTTCCATTACTAGAGGAAAATTTTACCAAATATTAATTTGTATAACCATTCTAGCCCCAGTGATTACTAGATGGTCATTAGTAATCACCAAATATTGTGCTCATTAATTAGATTATATACAAATACTGAACATTTAACAATAATTTATAAGATTATTTAGTGCTCACTCTATCCTCCAATATTAATATGGGACCTTGTATAGAGATCTATTATTCAGTTTCACTTAGGCATACATCCTTTTCATTTGCCTACCTAGTGGAATGAATGTTTGCACTAGAGCTAACTAACCATGTCCCTTAGGTGACAAAACCTATTTATCTAGGAGTAGGTCTTAACATACAATAGTATTAAGAGGTTTATTTGGGATAGTTATCAAAAAATATGAGACATAGTTGATTCCAAGCCTTGCTAAGCTCTAAGGGATCTCTATTATGTGCCCCTCTAGCTTGGTTATTATGATGTTACTTATAAGGCCATCTCCTTAGTAATGACTATGGATATAGTTCTTATCATAATTCATTTCCTCTATTTCAAGGCCATTTGAATAACCTATTTAAATGATAATACCATTATACGACCATGAACAAAACAACCTCATTTATTCATTTTTGCTTGTAGGTTTACCTCTCTCTCTCAATCTTATTGAATTATGATAAGAACTTAAGTTGAGTGACCCATCATTCCTATATGTTCCATTAGAAGATTTAAATCCATAAACCTATGACCATTCCTAGCCTAATAATCCCACTCTCTCCTTATTAGGGACTTACAATAGGAGATGGGGAGAGATTAACCAATATCCCCTTATAGGAGCCTTTACATGTCTCCGATTATAGCCATTAGCTAAGAGCTCTCTTAATAGAAATAAGAGTAATAATTAATAGTGAGAGAGGGGATAGAGGGAGAGGGAGTTTTTTAAACTCTAATTAGTCATAATAAAATTTGATTGTTATTAAGGGACAATGGTGGTAAAAAGTTCCTTACAAGCTATAGTTTGGGGAGAGGGAGATATTATTTCTAGCTATTGTTTTCTACCCTTCGGATATATAAATAATCAAGGTTTATATTATTATTGATTATTTCAAATTAGGATAGTTATTACGACTATATTTATTAATATAAGCTACCCTTCGTACCAAAGGAATTTCATATAAAAAATGCACGTAATTGTTTAGATTCCCTCTTTTTACCTTACACCCGATA